GATATGAAGATGAGATGAGAGAAAAAAAACATAGGTGAATTAGTATTCACGGATAATATACGCCCAAAAATCGCCCAAAATCTACTCTCGTGGACCGATTATCACCTAATCACCCCCCCTCCTCTCCCCACCCCATCCCCTCCGCAAATTGCCCCCCCCCCCTTCCCCAGAATCGAAATCACAGTCTCCCTTCATCACCCTTCTCCCCCCACTTCCTCCCTCTACCCCCCCTTCCCCCTTCTTCTCCCTTCCCCCCTTCCCCCTTTTCCCCCCTCCCTCTCCCTTCCCCCCCCCCTTTTCCTATACCCTCCTCTATATTTTTCACTCCATTGGCTTAGTCAACGAAAAAAAAATATTCCTCCCTTTTCATTTTCTTAACACGAATTTCTTCTTCATATTCGTTTCTTTTCTTTTGCTTCGACTTTTTTTATGCCATGTCCTCTTCCTTTTCCTTTTCCACCTTATCTCCATCTCTTCTGCTTCTTCCTCTCTTTCTTCCTATTCATCCTTCTTGTCTTCCACGTCCTGTACGCTTCCCCCCTCATCCATTTCTTCCTCTTCCACCCCCCCTACTTTCTCCTTCACTTCCTCCTCCTCCACACCATCCTCAACACCCTCCACCTCCACCACCACTTCCCTCCACCACCACCAACCACCACCTCCTCCTCCACCTCCACCTCCACCACCACACCTCCACCATCACCCTCCTCTTCCTCCACCCTCCACCACCCATCCATTTCCACCTCCACCACCCTCCTCCACCACCACCTTCCACCTCACCACCACCTCCATCTCCTCTCCTCCACCCTCTCCCCTCCCACCAACCCATGTTGGCGACTTCCCGACTATGAGCCACACTTCCTCTATCCTTCCCCCCCTCCCCCCTCCCACCCTCTCTCCCCCTTTTATCCCTTCCCTTTCCTCCTACCCCCTCACCCCCCCCCTTTCTATCCTGGAGGCGAGCAACACAGGGGACATAATAGCGGACTTCCGGAAGGGGGGGAGAGAGGGGCCGCGAGGGAGGAAAGGGGAGGGGGTATAGGGCAGGGGGGAGGGGTAGAAGGCAGGGGAGAGGAGGGGATGAAGGGGGACGGGGACAGGGACGGAGAGGGGGAGGAATGGTGGACGGGGGGGAAGGGGACGGGAAAGGGGGAGGAATGGTGGGACTGGGGGGGGGAAGGGATGAAGGGGGGGTGGACGGGAGAGGGGGAGGATGGGTGGACGAGGGGACGGCAAAGAGGGAAGGAGGGGGGAGGGAGGAGGAAGGGGCAAGGGTTGCGGAGGTGATCGCCGGTGTAATGTGCAGCTTCCTATGTAAGAAGAAGGAGGAGTGGAGGAGGAGGAGGAGGAGAGGAGGAGAGGGAGAGGAGGAGGAGGAGGAGGAGGAGGAGGAGGAGGAGGAGGAGGAGAGGAGGAGGAGGAGGAGGAGGAGGAAGAGAAGAGAAGAAAAAGGATAAAGTATGGAGAAGAACTAGAGAGAAAGAAAAAAAGAGAAAGAGAAGGAATTTGAAATGAAATGAGGAAACGAAAAAGGCCAAGCCAAAAGTGCTAAAAAGTAATGGGAAGAGGAAACAGTAAGAGCAAATTTCGTACACATTAAAGAATAGCAACAACAAACGTAACAACAGTAATACAACAATAATTATAACATCAACATCACAACAGGAAACAACAAAACAACAACAACAATAATCAAAACAACAATAACAGGATCGACATCAAATGAAACGACAAGAAAACGACGTCAATTCTGCCTCGCCGCGAATGACAGGACGAAGACAGGGAAGTCGGGGGCCCACGCGGGAAGTGTGGCCTTTGGGGAAGGGGGGAAGGGGGGAGGGGGAGGGGGGGGAGGGGTGTAGGGTGTAAATGTGCCTGTGCGTGAGCGTGTGTGTGTGTGTAAAGGTGCGTATGCGTGTAGCAGAATTCAAAAAAAAAAAAAAAAGAGGAGAGAGAGAGAGGACTTAAAAAGGAAAGGCTAATAAAGTAACTAGAAGAGATTACACTAGGGCATGAAAAGGGGATGTCAAGGCAAATGATACACAGGAAGCCCTCCCCCCCCTCCTGCCCCTTCCCCGCCGCTCTAAAGTGCCGACACTGGAGGGTGTAGGGGAGAAGGAAGAGGAAAGGGAGGGGGGGAGAGGAAGAAGGGACGCATGGAAGAGGAGGCGGAAGATGTGGAAGGAGGGAAGCGGAAGAAGAGGAGAGAAAGCAGGAAAGCGAAGAGAAGGGAGAGAGAGAGAGAGGGGGGAGTGAGGAAAAGAGAAGGTGTGCTGGAAGGAAAGAGAGAAGGGAAGGGAGATGGAAGCCCCAATGTGTAAGCCTATCCGGGGGGTACCTCCAATACAAAGCCTCGTCATCAGCTGGTCCGCAACAGCTGATCAACAACAGCTGATCCTACCCGGAGCAGGTGAACGACTAACAACAACCGCCCCGGACACACGGCTCCACATAAATCTTGAAGGCAATGAGCGCTCCCCCTCGGAAGACAAGCAGCGCCCTTGAAGTACGCCACGGGGCTCCCCCTTGAGGACCAGATGGGTCGATGAAAAGGGTAAAAAGTACTGGAACAAAAACCCTGCGGTGATTTCCTGGCTTCCGTTTTCTTTCTTTCTTTCTTTTTTTCGAAAATGAGTAAAAGAAGCGAGAATGGGAGTGGGGACGGGAGGGGGATGACAAGGAGCGAGATTTAGGGAGAGGGAGAAGGGAAGAAAAATGGAAAGAAGAATAAATGTAAAATGTAAAAAAGAGCGAGAGCGAGTGAGCTTAGAGAGAGAGAGAGAGAGAGAGACGAGAGAGAGAGAGAGAGAGAGAGAGAGAGAGAGAGAGGAGAGAGAGAAGATGAAGAGAG